AACTATGCAAAAGATAACTGAGATAGCAATGGCCTTTGCAACTTCAAAAAAAGCACTAATATGAGTCACAAAATGTTCAGGCATGGTATGATTCCACATTCCTTGGAGGACAAAAGATCATTCACTGCCTCTAAGAATGTCTAACGGAACCTTTCCAAAAAATGGTTGGAATTCGTGGGACAGCTTAAAGGACAATGACAAACCACAGACATTTCTTCAGCACTGAGATCTTTTTGTTAAATATCTTTCAAGAAAAGATGCATTGAAGGTTGTCTGCTCTTGGTTTTATTCTGGCCCGTTTCCTCAAAGTAGATCTAAATTTGAAATCCTAGGCACATGGGGGATACCCAATCGTAGGATTCACTGCAGTGGCGGACAAGATTGGAATAATTCACTCTCATCACTGCTGCTCTTGCAATTCACTCAGGATGCATTCAGATACCACATCTGATGTCACATCTTAAGCCTGAGTAGACTTGGCCTATGTACATACCTCCTTCCCCATTTCCCTTCTTGCACAGACTGCAATGAAGGATTCTTCATTTAAAACTAACTCCAGATGACTTTGCCACCAAACTGTGCTATTTTGTTCTTACCCATAGCCACTTTAGATTTAGTGACAAATGGCCCCACAGTATGCTAACATCTTTATTGCCGACCTGAAGCAATGCTTCCTAAACTTCCACCCATTCATACCTCTCTTACACCTGTGGCACACTGATGACATTTTTATTGTCTGGACACATGGTAAAGAAGCCCTGGACATATTCCGCCAGGCATTCAACAACTTTCACCCTCACCATCAACCTGACAATGAACCGATGTATGCAAGAAATACATTTCTGGACACTACCGTAAAAATGCACAATGGACACATAGACACCACCTTATACTGGAAACCTACTAACCAACAAACATACCTACATGCCTCCAGCTACCTTCCTAAACATATCAAAAGATCCATTGTATGCAGCCAGGCTCTATGCTACAGCCACATCTGTTCCAATCCTACAGACAGAGATTCTCACCTGAGGGATCTACAGTAAACCATTTTGGAACTAAAGTATCCACCTGATAAAGAAACAGATTAACTACTAAGCCATAATGGTACCCAGAGAAAACCTGTTGCAAGATAGGCCCAAAAAAGACACTAACAGAACACCACTAGTAGTCACATACAGGCTGCCAGGGGTCTTTTTGTAGAAAAAGAGCTGCCGGAGCTCATTAGCATAACTCATTAGCATATGCCACACCCCCTAACATCACCGGAAGTGTGTCATAAGGCCACACCCCCTGACATCACCAGAAGTGTGTCATAAGGCCACATACCCCTGACACCACCGGAAGTGTGTCAGAAGTGGGGCCCTCCTGAGGTCCACCAGCGGGGCCTGAAATCCAAAAGCCCTCCCACTCCTGCCCCCCAAGCACCAAGAACGCAGAGCATCACTGTGCCAGACATAAGAACATAAGAGAAGCCATACTGGATCAGGCCACCTCCACCAGCGGGGCCTGAAATCCCCACCTTCCTGAATAGATATAAATTGCCTGCCTACCATTTTTCTTCTCACCTTGACACAGAGAGTACTCCATCTTTCTGTGTTATATCTCTGAGGATGCCAGTCACAGTTGCTGGTGAAATGTCAGGTTCTACAATGCCAAGACCACGGCCATACAACCCGGAAAATCTACAACAACTAATGAACTCTGGCTGTGAAAGCCTTTGACAATAGCTCTTTAAATGGAACTACGTGGCATTGTAATGAAAGCATAAGCAGGGTCAGGTCATCAGAATCACTCATAAATGGGAGCATTTTGACACAGATATTCCATCAATGTCCTGTAAAATCAAATGTGAAGATCAGAGCTCTAGTAAATGTAATCATCTAGGAGAATGAGAGCTACCAGATCCCCATCAGAAATTATCCACAGCAGAGATTAACAGTGCCAGCATAAACCCATTAACTTCAACAAGTTTAGAAGGATGTGACTCTGGCTGATTCTGCATTGGCTTTCCCCTCCATTGTTTTACAAAACCCACGTTGGAGCAGAAATTCCCCCCTGCATTGCATGCTGCTTTCACTTCCGTTGATCATAGGATTTTATGGTAGCCTCCACACTCCATGCCACTTTCGCTTCATCATGGGGTTTAATGGTATCTTCTGCATAGATTTATGGCCGTTCAGGCATGACTTTGCAGTCAGTACAGCGTTGCCCCATGGTATTTGAAAGTGGTTTTGAGCTGGACTTTTTCCTCCCAGTTGAGAAAATGTAGAGCGAATGCTAGATGCAGAATCACCCTCTGTTTAGGACTGCATTGTAAGTCTGCCAAGTAGCTTGGAGTTAATTAAGCAAAAGACACAAACCCGATTGGTTTTTTTCCCCCATCAATCAAAATTATAGGTATACATCAGAAATGAACAGATTTGTTTTTAGAGCATAAAACTCCCCATCCAGAGAAGAGTTTTTTTTCTCCCCATCAATCAAAACTATAGGTATACATCAGAGCATAAAACTCCCCATCCAGAGAAGAGGGCCACTTCCCTTTTTTTGTTGTTTCATAAATAATGTTTCAAGTCAAGCATCCTAACTACAAAGAGGCAAACCCCCTTTTTTTTGCATAAATAATGTTTCAAGGCAAGCATCCTAACTACAAAGAGGCAAACCTAAATCATTCTCTCATGCAGCTAAGCAACGGACATTTTGCTCCAAAAGCAGCAAATTCTACAACATTGGGGGTAATTTCACAATATAATCATGCCTAGCAAGTTACCTGCCCACTTGAAAGGAGGCAAAACCACAGTAATCGCTCATGCAGAGAAGTGGTAAGCAGCTTGCTACGCGGATAGGTGCACTGGGTTCTCCAGATCCCTAAATAGCATTACACCCATTTAAGCTCACTTTCAATTAAGGATGTAACGCTGTTTAGGACTGCACTAATGTGCTTCTCAAATTATGGTTACAATTCTCCCACAGAACACTGTGTGCACATGGTCTCAGGCAAAGTAAATTAGAGCTTTAAAGGTTTGTCAGCTTAATACAGGATACAGATCACATAATTTTAAATGGACTTTTCTGGCCACACCAGTTTAAGGTTGTGAAAACCAGGCTACCTCTTCCATCTATCTTCCTCACAAATTCACTGTATAGTGTATGTTGGAGGGAAATTTTTAGTGAAATATGTAAGAAATCCTGCCATACGTATAAAAAGCTACACTAACCAACAGCAGTCTAAAAAGAATCAAGACACTGAAATATTGGTTACAAGACTGATTTACTAGACATTAAAGGAAAAAAAATTAAAAACCTTTTAAATCAGTTTCATAGAACCAAGAAATACAAATACTGCAGTGTTTGGACAGTGCAGATAAAACTAAGACCATTACTATTTAATTGAAATTTACTATTCTGGAAGGAAAACAATACTGTGCTGCAGTCTTCTCTGGCTTTGATTTATAATTTATATTACTAAATACATATAGTGTAGCTTTCACAGATGACTCCCAACTGCTATTAATGGAGCAGTTATTAGATCACACAGTAATGATACTATTTCATTTAGACCATGGTAGAGAAAGTCCATGGTTTAAGTTTCCAGATTTATAAACCCACAGTAGAATTCCATGCCCACTGCGCTAGACAGTACCATTATTAAATCCCACAGTAATGATAAAACAACAACAGGGTGCCTACTCCCAAGTCTACACTGCCACTGCAATTCAACTGTGCAGCAGTAGGCTACCAACAGCGAAATCATTGTGCTGTAACATGAGCAGATGGGGGGGCGGGGGGCAAAAACCTGCGGGTGGGGGGCCTTAATGAGCCATGGTGATGAGAGAGGACTATAATATGAGTCCTATGCTTGCTGGTAAATGTTATGCCAGCAAAAAAAGGCAGCATGTTAAAATATTTCCATCTGACATAGGAAAATGGCTTATATCGTCAGACCATGGGTCAATCTACTTCAGTCTTCTCTGTTCTCATGGTAACGGCTCTCTAGCAGCTGAATGGCACCCTTACAATGATAGCTTTAAGTGTCCCTTATCTGCCTGGTCCCTTGCCACTTCCGTTAAAGATTATTCTGCTTGCACAGACTCCTCAACAAACAATTCAAGTGCCTAGTTATAACCATTGTTGTCTGAGCTTCTCAGAATCCCCGAGGGATTAAAGGCTGGGGGGACAGGCTCTTATCCTTTAACCTCTGAGCTAGAGAGTCAGCTGGGTGTCGTAACTGGAATGCCACTCCTTTCTTCTCGGTTCAGCTCTTGCTTCACCCTGATGAAAGAGTTGCTTGTAGGTCATTGCTGGTTATGTTTGGGCTACTGGGGGTTTTAAACCTGGTTTTGAAGTAATTCCTGGAGTTCTTCGCTGCAGGAGTCACTTGCTACCCTGTTCACCACTGGGCCATGGAGGCCTTAGATAATAGGAAAAACCATGCTCGTACGCTGCATGTGGAAAGCGATTTTATAACATCCTCATGATACCCCCTACCTACCCCTCCAATTCAGACTGCTGCCTTCCCTGCCCAGATTCTCTAGAAGTGTTGTTGGTACACCATGTCACAATTGGTGGGGTTGCCAGGGCTTCTCCTGGGAGCAGTTGTAGGAGTTGCAATGTTCTTCCTTGTTTGGGGTGCTACTCTTTTGCTTGTTCCTATGTTACAGGTAATTCAAAAGTTCAAAACGACACTATTGTGTGGGCACAAGTTTTGGGTGCTGCTGCTGGCATCCAGTGTCATAAGATCAACCTTTCTGGTTACAATCTTAAACATACTTCCCAGGAAACAAGCCCCATTGAACTCATGCTTCTGATTCAACATGTGTAGACTGGATTGCTGGAGACAGCTCTAAAAAGTACAACCTGAAAGAAAGAAAAACTCCGAGAAGTTTCCAGAGTTTACTGCCTGTATACAGGCACATAATATTTCAGGACCAGTAGTGTCACACATGAGTAGGCTGTCAGATTTGCATTCCGGACACTTTATAGCGATATTAAAGTGTTACCTGAGATCTTTACAAGTGTTGCTTCATGATCACTCTCTCTCAACTTCACAAATCCAACTTGATTTCTAAAGTGATCAATTCCTTGAAATGATAAATCCAGGGGCTTCTCTTGTAGGAGTTCTTCTATTAAATCTTTACTCTCCAGGAAAGCACCAACTGCTCTATCAGACAGAAAACACACATATATCAGAAATGACACAGAAACCTTATTTTAGATTGCAATTATTCTTGCCATCCCATTGTCAAACCTCTTTCCTGAAAACCTGATTCCATGGCCTTTGTTTTAGAAACGTGATTCAGACTATCACTATGTCTAACAGAAAAGTGGCTGGCCTCATGCCAATTGTGACGACGTGAAAGGAAGTATAAGAATACAATAAATATTCAGAAGTGAATCCCACTGAGTTCAATGGGATTTATTGTCCTGGAGGTGGGTTTAGGATTACTGTATTAAAATTAACTTTGTCTAGATAATGCTCTTGGTACTTTTGAAGCAAAATTCTTTCTTTTTCCACCTAACTACTGATTATGATTAAAGAGTTATTGACTTTGTCACTAGATGGCAGTAACTACCTGGCAAGCAGACATCTTCAAAGAGCTGTACATTTACTTCATCTGCTAGACTTTAGAGCAGGGGTCCTCAAACTTTTTAAACAGGGGGCCAGTTCACTGTCCCTCAGACCGTTGGAGGGCTGGACTATAGTTTTAAAAAAAAACCTATGAACAAATTCCTATGCACACTGCACATATCTTATTTTGAAGTAAAAAAAACAAAATGGGAACAAATACAATATTTAAAATGAAGAACAAGTAAAGTTAAATCAACAAATTTACCAGTATTTCAATGGGAACTATGGGCCTGCTTTTGGTCAATGTCCGGTTCCATATTTGTCACTGCTAGTCGTAACACGTGATGCAAGTGTGCACCAGTTAGTCTAGATCTGGTTGGAGATTTCAGATGTTTCATATTGGAAAAAGTCTGTTCACAGACATAAGTGCTTCCAAAGATGGTTGCCATTTTGAGTGCATGGTTCCTGAGATTAGGATATGTCTCAGAGGGGAGAAATGCATAGAAATTAGAAAGGCTGCTTGACTTGAATGCTTCTTTCAGAGAGTCATAATTCTGCAGTTCAGCCAGTTCCATTTGGTAAATTGTATCCACATTTTCAATGTCAATAGAAAATGGGTTACGGAAAAGCTGTATGTCCTGTTCATGAAGATGAAGCGCACACAAAACAAAAATTCCCCCTCTGCAAGCGCTACTTTGTGGCTTGCAAAAGAGGGGGGGGGGTCAGCTGGAAA